CCACATATTTCAATGGAATTGTCCGAAATTCCACACAAGGAGTTCCTTGTGAGTACTTTTGCCCCTAAAAGAGAATTGTTTATATATGTTTGATGAATTTCTAACAGTCTAACAGTAACGATATCAGCCAACAACGCTGCCAATTTTTTGGTGTTCTATCAGACGCGAAGTCACAATATGACTGTTATGGTCCTGTTCACGAAGGAATAAACTTTTATTTATTAAAAAGTTCACGAATAAACCACATGGATTTGTTTATAACCTCCAACCATTCTATTGAGGGCATATTAAATTTGTCATTTCGTTTGTAACTCCTCGAAATAAGAATTTAGGACCTAACAAAGTATATATTCTTGATCAGCGTAAAATTTTAAGGCGATTTAGCCCGTCAGTCTGTTGTAATCACTCCAGAGGCAAAACAAATTAAGACAGGAAGCTAAAATTTTGCATAGATCAATCAGCGTATAATTCTCTGCTTGTCCGTCTATCTGTCTGTTTATACCCTACACCACAAGGTGGTTAGGGTATTATTATACCCTACACCACAAGGTGGTTAGGGTATTATGTATTTGTGCATTTGTTTGTAACAGGCAAAAGGAAACGAGATAGACCCATAGTTCCTTTTGATGATCTGCATACAATCACTTTTTGATTTGATTTATGCATGTCAGTCTGTCTGTCCGTCCGTCTGTCCATGTATACTTGTGAACAAAATGCAGGTCGCATTTATTATCCGATTGAGACGAAATTTTCCAAACAACATTTGTTTGGCCCAAGGACGAACCCTATTGAAATTGGATATAATCGGTAAAAATTTAGATATAGCTCCCATATATATCTTCGTCCGATTGCCTTTTATTGTGCACCAAACGTGAAATATCAGCCCGAATAGTATGGAATTTTGCACATACAACAAAATTAGGCCTGAAAATAAGTATACCAAATTTGATCGAAATCGGTTCAGATATAGCTACAGCTCCCATATATATTGTTCATCCGATTTGTTATTTTTGTCCTCCGCAGCCGTAATATGCACTCTGTAACAACAATATTTGGGGAAATATATCAAATGCAGCTCAGAAATACCTTTGCTAAATTTTATCGAGATCGGTTCAGATTTGGATATAGCTCCCATATATAACTTCGTCCGATTTGCCTTTTATTGTGCACCAAACGTCTAATATTTGCCCAAATGGGATGGAATTTGGCAGATACGAACGAATTGATTCTAGAAGGTAGTATGCCAAATTTGGTGAAGATCGGTTCAGATATAGCTATAGCTCCGATTTGTTGTATTTGTTACACACAGCCGTAATATGCACTCCGTAACATCGATATTCAGGCAAATATATCAAATACAGCTCAGAAATATCTTTGCCAAATTTTATCGAGATCGGTTCAGATTTGGATATAGCTCCCATATATATCTTTATCGGATTTCAAATTAATTTTGCACCAAATGGGCAATACAAGTCCAATGTTTATAATCATAGCGTGTATGATTGAATTCTCCCATAAAAACTTTTAATTGTTTTGCGGAGCTCTACTAAATTAGCAAAGTGGTGTAGTGAATTATGAGTTAATTACAGAATATCAAGAAGAGATCTTTCATCTTGGAGAAGAATAAGGATAGCTTTAAATACAACCTAGTCCAGTTTCAAGAAGAGGCAACAAAGTCTTTGTTGAAGCAACATTAAGTGAACTGAACGCTTCCAATTTCTTACGTATACAGGGTTGCCCATATTCGACGGACCTTTGGGCCCATTTCAATCGACGAGGCTTGTCAACATTCTTTGCGTCAATTCAATTTTGTACGGGAACAAATGCAAATCAATGCGAATAATCCGTTGTAAAGTGGACAGAGCCATGCCCAACTGCTGAGAACGGCGTTTTTGGGATGTTCTTGGGGACCTCTCAACACTGGCTCGTACAGCAGCGATATTCTCGGGCGATCGCCTTGGTCGACTTTTATATGGCCTTTTCGGATTAGAAAGAGTCTTACCAGTCGAAAATTTTTCGTATAAACGCTTAATGGTGTTCTTAGAAGGCGCACTTCTCACATGTTTTAATGTTTTAAAAGCACGTTGAGTTTTCACAATTGACTTCTTGTAAATTTCAACTATTTCAGAGCGCTCGCGTGGCGTGTATTGGTTCATGGTAAAAATCTGCTTGGACTGATGCTTCAAACGCGGTATGTCATTAAGCGATGTGACATCTCTGTCAAAAGTTATGGCGTTGCCAGATGGGTCCGTCGAATATGGGCAACCCTGTACTGCCGGAAAGGAGCAGTGTAAGTACTATAGAGCTTAAAGCACTGTGGAAAAAGATATTGCACTCTCCGCAGATATCGAATAAAATCATTTGGGCAATATAAATATCACTTCTGGAAGACTGTGAGTAGTATATAGGCTGCATTGGTTATTCCAGCCATTGACCGGCAAGTGTCATTTTCATCCAACCACACAAGCGAAGATGGAATATGAAACGGACCATTTCTACTGTTAGCAGTACAACTATACCTGGTTGTTCCAAAGGCAGTACGGACTCATCAGACAGCAGTTCCAAATGAAGCATAACCAACAGATCTCCGCTGAAGATGTTGATGATGATGAAATCCTAACACTATGTAAGTCAGGAACCACACAGAGCTACCTACAAGAAAAAGTTTCGTATGAAGGACCACTTTGTAAACTACCTTTACTTGGAAGGCAGAAACGCTGAGAGCCTGGAATAAAAGGCAGTGGTCCTCAAGAATGAACCTAAAGAAATTGAAAAATGGGAACGCTCAAAAAATTGGAGGGCTCTAGAAGAGTTAAAAGAGTTCAACCTCTGGGTTATCAATTATGTTTTTTGTTGCCAATACAACAAGAATGAATACAGGCGATGAACTTCGACTGAAGCAAATGTTTGAAGAGAAAGATCACCACGCACACAAGTTCTTAAGTTACCTGCAAACATCGAGTACTTCTTTAGAACGGATTTGATGAGCAATTATGATGAACTGAAAGCAGAAAAAATTTTATTCGTGATGAAATTCAAGCGTGATAGTGTGATTTCTTTATATTTGGCTGGAAAATCATAAGTGGCTATCGTTACCCTCGCTCGTTACCCGACGTCAAGGAAGTGTACGGAAGAAAAAACCAACATCAGCAGAAATGGTTCGAAAAGTTTAAAAAGCGACTTGATCGAAACTCGCGTCGCAGTGGCCGAAAAATGGCTCGTGAGCTGAGCATATCGCAATATTCCATTCGGCAAATATTGAAAAATTAGCTCGGGGTAAAGCCATTGAAATTCCAAAAAGTGAAAGAACTTACACCGCAACAGAAAGTAAATAGACTCAAAAGAGCTAAAGAGTTGCTTCGCTTGGCCGAATTTGGTTTTCTCCGATGAGAAAACATTAGTTGTCCAGCACTTTGTAAACAAACAAAATGATCGTGGTCAAAGGTCAGCGGTTGGTTACCAGCCGCCATAACAGCCGATGGCCGCTCTCCGCTCGTATTAATAGACCGTGGCATCAGAATAAATGCCGAATGTTATCGCAAAAATACCAATCCATTGGACTATTGTGTCTGGAGTATTTTGGAAAGCAAGGTTGGCACTAAAAAATACCAAAGTGTCGATCACCTCAAGCAAGCGCTTCGTCGGGAATGGACCAAAATACCGCATAGCAACATTCGGGCAGCGTGTGGTTTCATTGGCAGTTTGAAGGCCATAATTTGTGCCAATGGTGACCAATTCGAACAAAACTAAACTTTTTCTAAAAATTGATGATATTTCCGACATTTTTATACCCTCCACCATAGTATGGAGGGTATATTAAGTTTGTCATTCCGTTTGTAACACCTCGAAATATACATTTTAGGTCCACGTTTTGGTATAGCACCCATATAACGGTACCCCTCGATATTCGGTATTTTGAAGATTTTAGCGAAATTGTTTTAAATTTGGTATTTGAAGTTCTTAATGGACACTACAGCCTGAGACAGAAAATTGTCTGTGCAGGTCCACGTCTTCGTATAGCCCCCATATAACGGTACCTCCCGATATTAGGTATTTTGATGATTTTCATTATTACCTATTTTTTTTAAGTTTCGCATTTAAATATTGTTATGGCTTATGACGAATGTTACCTATGCAGGTCCATGACATCGTACAGGCCCTAATATAACAGCTACATTCGGTATTTTTAAGATTTTAACAGAATTTTTAACGGATTTTCTTGTTTTTGAGATTTGCCAAAGTCGTTCCAAATGCTGGAGTGTATTCGGCCCTGCCGAATTTACAGGTTTTTACTCGTTTGTTTTCATTCAATAAAATTTAAAAAAATATGTAAGAATTATGGCGTTTGACTTAGTTGCAGTTTTTATCTCACCCTGTACATCTGATATGAATATCGTTATACAAATCCTAAATTGTTTCAAATTTATTAAAAATAAATTTTGTTGTTGCAAAATGGTCAGGCTTATCCCTTTTATTGTTGTTTTTATAAAAACAACGTTTGTTTATTTGTGGAGAAATTTTCAAAAAATGGGGGGACTTTCTTTAACCGTCTACAATAAGAGCAATAAATAAAAATTTTCATAGTTGACAAAAATAATTTCCCACTTTTTCATAAAAAACTGGCTTTTTGGCCTTGCATCAACGTTGGGGCTTATACGAAATCCACAAAAAATGACAAAAGATAGAACGAAAAAAAACATTTTCATAATCTGATTGAAAAGTTATAATTGATTTTTGATTTTATTTGTTCCATGTTCTTGTGCATTATGTGCGGGGACTTTGTGCAAACATGGGCGTTTGTTCGTTCGTTCTTGCGCCCCCCAAAAAAAAGATGTGTCCATGTTCTGTCATGTCCTAACAATTTTTGTTTCCAGTCAATTCAATTCTTTTGCTGTGGCTAGGCTAATAACAAAGTTCTTGATTTTTTTCTCTCTTTCTCTTCCATTTTATGTTTTGGCCTCTATCATCATCTCTTCCATGGAATTCAATCAACCATTCAGTCTTGTTCAGCAACTACAACAACATCTTCGAATACTGCATTGATTGGGAACCAGACCACCGTCAACACCAACAGCAACACCATTACAATGGGCAATAGTCAGATGAAAACGGCGGCCACGGCTGCCGATGCGACAGCAGGGGACGCCAGCGGTGGGTTCGAAGGCGGCGGTGGTGGCATTTCTTCGTCATCGTTGAGAGCCTCTATGAAAAGTCGCCGAGGAAGTAGAGTAAAAGTTTTTGGTCTTCTGGGTCAGAAGAAAGCATCAAAGGAACCAACAACGCCAACCACGCCATCGTCCGCCACAGCTCCGCCACAATTTGGTGTTGCAAATGTGGCAAAATCTCGAGCATCAACTGCCAGCTGTATTGAAATGATTGACGAAGAGGAACGAACATCTCTGGAGCAGAGTCATGCTGCTGTTATACGCCAACTGGAGCTGGAACAAATGGAAATACGTAAGTAGTAGTAGTAGTCTATGAGTTATTCCTCCCCCCTCTTGTTATGACCAAAATGCATACCTTCCCCCATTTTCCCCACCACCCACCAATGCCTTACCGATTCGCCATGATTTCATTGATAAAGACTTAATTTAAAAACTTTTATACAAATTTACTACAAATTGTTGTTCTTGTTGTTATTTGTGTTTTTTTTTTTTTTTGTTGCTTTAAAATTTTCCATAAATAAAGTTAAAGACATTCTTCTCGTTCGCTGCTCCCTCTTTGTAGCCCGCATTCCCCCCAGCTGCCCTCCAGTGGTGGCCTTTGTACAATATTGGAAAACAAACGATTTTTATAACCGACAAAAAACTTGTCCAAGTTATTTTCTATAGCTCCCTGCCAAGATAGTAGCTTCTGTTTTTCTTTTTTTTTTTTTGGTTTTTGTTTGCCTTTATCTATGAAATATTTTGCTTTGGGTTTTTCCTCCTTTGCTGCTGCTTTCGTTTTTTCCGTTCCTTCTGTAGTGCATTCCCAAAATTAATAAATTTGTTTAGTTTTCTGTTTGTTTGCATCTCCAGATTTCATTGAGTTGTGTCTCTACGAACATTGGTCGACGTCCTCCTTGCTATCGCAATTTGAAATTCCTCACAGAACACAACGAAAAACACAATTCTTAAAGGTTTCCATGGAAATTTGACATTGACAGACACAAAGGCATTCAATGTTATTGCGATAAATACCAGGAAAGGTGTTCAAAATAAGTTCTGATGTCATGAAATGAAAAAAAAAGAAAAAATAAGAACAAGAAGAAGCATAAGTCAGGTTGGTTAGCTTTTCGATATTAGCAATGACTTGCAGGAACGTTATTTCAGATCAAAATGTAGTTATGTACATAGGTAGTTTTTTGGTTTCATTGGTGTTTTACCTCAGACCTTGGAATGCATAAATAATCAGGAAAAATTGTATCCAAACTAGATTAGAGTAAAACCCCTCAGAAACTATCTCCCCTCAGAAACTATAAACAATTTTCTTATCACGGATTCTTAATTATATAGGGAATACGACCCCTAAAACTAAATTTCCCATTTCAGGCATTTCGATTGCTTGAATTTCACAAGGGCTACGTAGTCGTAGTCCTTGAATCAGTCTCGGGCAAATATTGTCGTGAATAGTAACTCGTCTGAAAAAATATACTCTCTAACATTATCTAAGTTTCTGAAAAACAAGTTAAAAATTTTCAGTCGGTTTTGCCGACAGATGTATACCTTTCGGTTATTTATACTTTTTCGGTTATTTAAATATATATTGACTTCTTTTATGATTGTACAAATTTTGGCGTAGATTCCGAAAGAATGGCCCAATATTGTCAATTTCGTATTAGACCGGAATAAATATGACATAAATGTCGCGACGTGTCAGCCTTGGACTACTTTGGTTACTCCTTCACTTTGAGATGTGATCATTTTTAGAAAATGTTAAAAATTTCGACCTTTTGTGGGGGAGGTACCGGAAGGAGTGGACCGATATATTCCATCTTCGCACCAGACCTTGGATTAATAAAATATTCGGTTGTGTGACATTTTCAGACAATCGGATTCTTTTATCACATTTTATAAGAGTTATAATTATTCAAAATGATGACTATTTGTGGGGGCGGTACTTGATGGAGTGGACCGATATTGCCCATTTTCGCGCCTGTCCTAGCACTGACGCAAATATTAGGATTTGCAAAGGTGGAGCAAATTCGGATTATCGTTCCTATTTCTGTGCAGAAAATATATTTTTTGAACTTTTCGATCTTTTGTGGGGAGGTACCAGAAGGAGTGGACCGATGTATTCCACCTTAAAACCAGACCTTGTGTTAATACAACTTACATCACATTTAAGACACTTGCATCACATTTTATAAGAGTTATAATTATTCAAAATTTTGACGCTCTGTGGGGTTAGATACTGGATGGAATGGACCGATACTGTAAATTTTAGCACCTGACCTGCACTGACGCAAATATTTGGATTTGCAAAGTTGGAGCAAAATCAGATTATCGTTTCTCTTTCTGTGCAGAAAATAATTTTCTTGGAAATTTCGACTTTTTGTGGGGGAGGTACCAGAAGGAGTGGACCGATTTGCCCGTTCTCCGAACTCGATCTAAATTTGACAAAAATATTACGATGTACCAAGTTTGGACGAAATCGAATACTCCCTTTGAGAGTTATAGTGCGCACCAGCCAGACAGACGGACGGACGAACATCGCTAGATCGAATCCAAATATATCCAATATACCCTCTCTATCCATATGGCTGAGGGTATAAATGTACCGACCTTTTGATGCAAAGATGTAAACACTATCTGTATTGTTTTATACCATCAGCCATATGGCTATAGAGGGTATATATCATTTGATACGGTCAAAACGTGCCTCATCAAAGTAACAGTTTCAGACTCTAGGTCTCTTTGAACCAAATCCGTTTTAGAACACTAGAGTCGAACTAGCGATGTCCGTCCGTCTGGCTGGTGCGCACGATAACTCTCGAAGAGAGTATCTGATTTGATCCAAACTTGGTACATGGTAATATTATTATCAAACATAGATCGAGTTCGGAGATGGGCAATATTGGTCTACTTCTTCTGGTATCTCCCCCACAAAAGCTCAACATTTTCACAGAAAATAATTTAACTTATATGACAAGAAAGGATAGTCCAATTTTGAGCAAACTTTGCAAGTCCCTATATTCATTTCAATTCTAGGACAGGTGCAAAAACGACCCACTCCATCTGATACCTTCCCCAACATTTTGAATAATTATAATTTTTGTAAAATGTGAAATATAGATTCGATTGTCTGCGAGTTTCGCGCATCTCAATATCAACACAACACCTTGTATGAAGATGAAATATATCGGACCCCTCTTCTGGTACCTCTCCACAACGGGCCAAAATTTTGAGTAAATATTCTATCATAAAATGCGAAATAAGCATCTGATTCATTCTAAACTTCACACATGCCAATATTTCTACTAACACAAGATCTGGTGTGAAGGTGATAGATATCAGCCCACCCCTTCTGGTACCTCCCCACTCACATAACTCATTACGATATTTAAATACGAAACTTGAAACAATTCCTGCTTCAAAATAATCTAAAATCATCAAAATACCGAATATATGGAGGTACCATTATATGAGGGCTACACAAAAACCTGCTTATGCAATTTTCTGTCATATTGCATATTATTAGGAACTTCAAATAAACATACTGCCAATTTATAGAAAATTTGGATTAAAATTGCGACTAAAACACAAAAAAAAAAACTTAAATCTGTCGATATTTTATGATTATTGAGGTAGATCAATAATTACTTTTGAGAACCTTCATAATAACATACATAAATCGACTCAGAAGATTTATGCATGCCAGTCATTCTGTCCTTCTGTCCGTCCGTCAATCCGCCTGTCCATGTATTTTTGTGAAAAAATGCAGGTCGCGTTTATTATCCGATTGAGATGATATCTTCCAAACAATATATGTTTGGCCCTAGAACGAACCCAATTGGAATTGGCGAGAATCGGTTCAAATTTTGATATAGCTCCCACATATATCTTTGAACGATTTGAATTTAATTTTGCAACAAATGGCCAATATGAGTCCAAATGACCTGCATTTTGGCACATCCGACCTAAACCAATTAAGAAGCAAGTACGTCAAATTTGGATAAAAACGGTTCCGATATAACTATAGCTCCCATATATATGTTTCATCCGATTTGGGATTTTAAGTCCCTCACATGCGTAATATCACTCCACAAAAATGATATTTGGTAACAAATGTTACCAAGATCGGATCAGAAGTTTATTGTGCACCAAATGGCTAATATCAGCCCAAAGGGAGTGAATTTTAACACTTTCGACCGAATTTATATATATGTTTCATGCGTTTTGGTGGTTAAATCCCTCACATTCATAATATGCAATCTACAACAGTGATATTTGATACCAGGTACAGCTCTTAAATACATCTGTCAAATATTATCAAGGTCGGTTCAGATTTAGATATAGCTCCCACATATATCTTCAACCGATTTCATGTTTATTGTGTGCCAAATGGTTAATATCAGCCCAAATAGAGTGGAATTCATCTTAATCACCTAATTTAAACGTCGTTTGATGGGGTTATATTTTTACTTCAATTTAAGTTCGGCATGATCTGCATGGTTTTTCCTAATATTTGATGGCTTTAACTTTTTCGAAATCAATTGTTATAAATCTAATCAGTTTGTTAATCAAGTGTCAACGTTTTGGTGATTTAGATTTTGCTTCTTCCAAGTTTCCATTGTCATGACAGTTCCCTTTTTTTAAGGATTTCAATTTAGTGAGTACCAATTTCCATTTAAAGTTTGTTCCGCGAAAACAAAATTTCCAACCAAAATTTTCTTTTACCCGAAAAAAGAGATAAAGTTCTCTCAATTCCTGTTTTCAAGGGTTAAATAGATAATTTTGCGAATCATAAACTTGTTACTGTGATTAATTAATTTTTCTGTCAATCAATCATCTTCAATTGCAGATTCTCTAAACAACATTGCTTCGCAACGTATTAGGCAACTCTTAAAAACTTTTAGTTAATTATTGAACCGGCGAAGTCTATGGAAATTAGTAACTTAATTACAGCAATATTTATTTATTTCCTGATTATTAAACAAACTCAACAGAGGTCAGCTAATTAAAGTCATTCCGTTTTTTTTAACGACTTTGCACTACTCGGCCCGTGTGTTTGGAAAAGCTTGGTAGTTAGGTGTTGGCTAATGGACGTCTACCATATGTGAGTGTGTGTGTGCGAAAAGCAAACATGCGAATGTATTGGTTTTCGTGTTATGGCAATCTACTTCAGAAGTTGTGGCAAACATTTAAACTAATAAATCATGTTTTATGTCCAATTAATTATTTTAGACGCAGCTATGTCAGTTAAGCTGGAAACAATTTTTGTGATTTCATATTTTGGCATTTCGTTGAAACATTTTT